TATATATATATATAGGTAGGTTAGACATAATTTTTGGGGCGAGCATCGAACCGGAAAGTGGTTCAATTATTATTATTATAATATGCGGCGTTTAACACGCGGGGTAAACTTTCTCTGCCACTACAGTGTTAAAAGTGATAAATTTTGACGTTCATTTTATGTATAATATGTATGTACCGGGTGATACATTTATCATATTATTTTGTTGTTATTATTATTATTAAAGTTATTATTTTCGTTATGTTTAACACATTCGGAAAGTTTTCTTTTTAAAACTTTTTAGTAATTGTAAAGGTAAATTTATACTTTTGATTTTCAAATTGTATAACCTTTATTTTCGATTTCAAACTCTKACGCAGAATAATTTTCTAAAAATCTTTAGGTACCTACGTATAATATAAATTTCAAAATATGTCGGACAAGAATGAAATATGTTTAAAGTTTAGATATAATGCTGGTGAGTTGTGAAAGAGAGGTAGTTATAGTAGAGAAATAAATTTTACACTGCAGCTGCCTTAAACGTGTAATTTGTGTTGCATATTTATATAAACAGTAAACTATTTGTCTGGAATTCGATATTTATTTAAGTAAAAGTTTTTTTAGAAGATTATTTTGAGAAATTAGATGTATACATATTGGTATAGTGTTACAAAAGGTTGAGGAATAAAACGTAGATAAGTACCTGTATATAGAATTATAGAAGTACATCATTCTAACGMTCCGAAAAAGTAAGCATATACAATATCGAAAATACACAGTATAAATTTAATTATGTCGTCATAATAACGATCACCCTGAAACAATGTCAATAATGACATAATKGCATTCATAAAGTAGGTACTTATCTGATATAGTTATCAATATTATAGCCAGACCCGATATTATTAAAATATAATCTTTTATCTTATTTGTATTTCATTTCCCCGATTGTCGAGTTGCGTAGGCAGTTTTTTTGTTTRGCACGCGTGATGTGATGCACGCAAAACGCARTAATTAATATTGTATTATATTGCCAACGATTTCAAGTAGATTTCAAAGCCCAGTGCCTACTTGTAGATATGGCTTACAAAAACTCCATCAATAATACAATTAATTATAGTTATAAAATATGGATTAGAATAATACCATCAAAAAAATTATGGTAAATCTTATAGTAATAATATGATAACCTTTGATAAAATKCTAGCGTCTTTTAAGCTTTTCGTTGGAAAATRGACAGCAGCCCGCTGTGAATATATGATAAATAAAGCGAAAATATTTCTTGTATTATTAGGTAGTGCTGATAAATTATGTATGATAACTGATAAGAACATAAAACACAATTTATAAGCATAAATAATTGTATTTTTTGGTCATAATTTTCAATAGGTAATTGAATCATAGGTTTAACCTACTACTACTATTCGTATTATACTCACTTTTAAGATAGGTGAAAGATGAAACTAATTTGATGTTGAATTGTACATTATACATTTATCCAACAGTATTAATATTTTATGCTTAAATTTTGTAGTCTGTCCTTCCAAATTTTCCACAATTAATATAATAATATAAAGAAGGAGTAAAAAAAAGGTAGGTACCATTAATTTTTTTTATTAATTATGCGTGAAAAATGTTTGAATCTAGTTACTACCTTTAGAGACGAAAAGGAAAATCTTCTCATAGAAGATATCGAAAATTTTGCTTTTATACAGACACTTATTATAGAGAACCTATAATAGTCGTTTAATTTTAAACACTAGAAAAATTTAAGTAGGAAATTGTACGACAATATCTTCTAATAACTGTGTTAGCTTGTCTATAAAGTGTCACAATTCACAAGCCATAACTCATAACTCGTATGTGAACCGCAGTGGCGCAGTAGGTAGGTATTTTATAAAATAKTTCTTATGAGATGTAATAAATAACAATATAATAAATTCATAGACGTTCAACTACCTATACACATACATAAATACAGTCAGACTCTGACTGTCTGCATAGTATGAAGGTAGCATTTTTAATATCTTCTCAAATGTAGTTCATTTTTATATTTATAGATTACCTACATAATTGACATATCAAACTATAATTATATTTATGTCTTATTTAAAAAAAATAAAAATCTAAAATCTATTTTTTATTTAAAAAAAAATAAAAATCATTTAAAGTTTAAAGCGTAAACATATTAATATAGTTATTGTACGGTACATAATTTGTACCTATACATCATCATTGTATGAAATAGAATATAATTAAAATTCTGCAAACATAAAACTGATGAACACTGAAAGTGCGAACAGGAAATATGATATAATATATGTATATAGTTACTATATAATATTATAGAAATTGAGAAAGGAAATTGTTTTCGAAAAAAATAAATTACTTCCAGCATTCCTATGCAGACGGGTAGCATATCGACACCTATTATACGTAGTTATTCATATATAGACATTAAGATTAAGTATATAGAAGTCGACTAAACCACGACGTTAAGTATTCAAAATCCATCTATTGACCCGATTAGGCTTGACATCGTCGTTATGCTAAAAAATGTTCGGATAAAAAAAAACAAAATCCCTTCACCAATTTTTTTTTTTGTCAAAGTGTTGTCAATAACTCCCTTCACCACAGCTGCACGCGTAACACGATTTATAAATAATTGAACAAATACGAAAATTGGACATTTTTCCATCTGCAGATTAAAGCGTTGACTGCTGTTTTGTTTGTGTAATAACTACCAATAGATGGAAACGCCCTGATAAACGGATTTGTATTTTGTAATAATATGTGCATAATATAACTTACYTGTACCTACATTATACTGAATGCTAATCACGCGAAAGTCTGTGTCTAGTTTTCGACACACTCCTTGGAAAACGCATCCGAAATAGTCRGCAGCCTACTCGAAGAACACGACAGAAGTATGTTTCTCGATATTTATGAGCGATGGCGCCTCATCCGCCGGATGCAGTAGCGGTAAGTAAAATATAGTGAGGTATAATAATAGTGGTAACCCTTCTCCAAAAAGACGATATCTTATACCAAAACCTACTTACGTTAAACCGCTTTTCGARGAGCGATCAGTTACGTACCGACTCGTTGGTGGAGATTCGTTTGCGCACATTTTAATATATTTTTTAAATTTACGACAACTCGTTTGCGCACAAAATAGTAAACAATGAAAACCAGCTTTTAGGTACAGTTTTGGGTGTACAGGGTGTCTTAAGCTGCCCAACACGTTCAATATTATTGATATCAATGATCACCCGTTAAAAAAAATTGAAGTACCWTCAATACAGCCAATACACGGTCAATATTGATGGTGTATGGGCCGCTTTATCAGACAGGAGTAGTACCGTAATTTATTGTAATTTGACAAAATTGTGAATAATGCTTCTAAGGAAGCTGTTCCAAAATAAATAGCTAAAACAACATTTTTAAAYCCACCAGTCTATAACATCAGAATATGATGATACTGAAAGTCCTCAGCCTTTAAGGACTTCGCCTAAAGGGCGGAGGAAAATGTTGTTTGGCTATAATAATTATTGTCCACTACCTATTAGTGTTGACCAAATTGAAATTATGGAGATACGCACAGATTATKTGGCTGAGGGTGAGTTGCGGCCCGACCTTTCGTTTCCGGTGTTGGAGACCGGTGAATTCCGGCCCGATAATATTTTAGGTATAGGTTAGTTGCGGCCCGAGTAATTATCATTACATATGTACCTTACTTAT